TATATTACACTGTCCGGCGCCTCCCTTCACCCACACACACACATCCCGCCATGCATCCCCATTCATCAGTTAGCAGTTAATTTTGGTTGCCTCTGCGTTTCTGATCAAGAGGTTCGATTTCTGGGTAGTGTATGTATGAAACCATGGCCTTCAAGTACCCCCATTTGCTCTGGACTCATCCGTAACTTCACTTGCTTATCCTTGTCCTATTTCCCTTTGAGCAGCTCCCTGTTGGGAGCAGAGGCCATTCTGACTTCCTGTGCCCAAGTGCACAGAACTGCTGCCAGCTGGAGGAATTAAGGGGTCATGAGGTTATTGGGTCCCAGTAGTTACAAAGGCGAGAGGTGGGGGGAGAAGGGCAGGATCTGATGTGAGATGTGGTCTGAGAGGTAACAGAACAGGTTCGTTTAGTGCCTCACACACTAGAGAATCTTTGATTTTTATTTTAAGTGAGCTGGGAAGCTATCATAGTTTTCCAGTGTTGCTATTGTAGAACTACCTGGATTCCTTAAACAAATTTTTTCTCTCAAAGTTTGGAGAGAAAACTTTGGAGGCTGGAAGTCTGTTCAGCTCTGACTGGGACACTTTTCTCTGCCTCCTGGGTCTAGGAGGTTCACAGCACAGGGACTCTGGGCCCAAAGGACTGTATCTGCTCTGGGCACTTACTTGGTGGTAGTAGGTTACGCTCTGGCTTCTGTTGCGTGTTTAATCTCTATAATATTTCAAGTAGATTCACTCAAGATATCGCCTAATCATGAACACAGCTACTTCAAATTGTGTTTTATTAACCCAGAAGTTAGGATTTCCAATATATGGGGTGGTTATATCAGATCACAAAATGGAAGATAATATTATACACTACTAAGAATTCTGGCCTAGCCAATTTGAGGGATATAATTTGACCCATAAGAAGTCCTGGTGGTACCATCAGGTGAGCATTGGACTGCCACCCTCAAGGTTGGCAGTTTAGACTCACCAACCACTCCCTGGGAGAAAGATGAAGCATGCTGTGCCTGTTGAGATTTACAGTTGCTACGAGTCTGAGTTGACCTGATGGCTGTGGGTGGGAATTCATTTGATCTATGACAGCAACCTTTGCAGGTTTTTGCAGTGACATGACTTCCTGGCTTTCAAAAGGATCAGTGATTGTGTTGAACATAGGTTGCAGCAGGGTTAGGATGGAGCAGGGAGACCAGTCAGGCACAAGATGGAGCTGGCAGGCTTGGGGAAGTGGCCGTGGCTTTGGAGCGAGAGGAGAGAGGTCAGGGATGATGCTGATGGGTTTGGCTTCCCTCAAACACACCGGCTTTGAGCTGATTCTGACTAAAGGCAACCCTATGGGACTGTATAGCACTGCCCGTGGGTTTCTGAGACTGTGAGCCATCTTTCTCCTGAGGAGCAGCTGCTGGTTTCAAAATACAGCCCAACTTGTGACCGTTATGCCACCAGCACTCCCTTGGTTTTGGCTTGAACAGCCTGAAAGGGTGGAAAGTATTTAGGTGGTGAGCGTTAGCCCCTTTCATGTGAACCTTAGGTCCTCTGGAGATGCTCAGGTTGGTGCTGGTCTGGCTAACATTTCTAACCCCTGGGCTCAACAAGAGTCTCTAAAATTTAACAGCATTATTCTTGACCCCCCCCCCCCTGTAAAAATATGGCTGACTATATATAACAAAACATCTTCCATTTTTAAGTGTGCAATTTAGTGACATTAATTACATTGGCTATGTTGTACAGCCATCACCGCTATCCATTTTCTTTTTTTAAAAAATCAATTTATTGGGGCTCATAAAATTCATCACAATACATAGATCAATTGTGTAAAGCACATCTATACATTTGTTGCCCTCATCATTCCCAAAATTCGCTTGCCTCTTGGGTTCCTGGAATCAGCTCATTTTCCTTTTCTGCCCCTTCCCCCTCCCTTCCTCTGCCCCCCTCCCCCACGCTATCCATTTTCAAATGTTGTTTTGAATCTTCCTAAACAGAAACTTAAGGCCCTGTTACAGTAATGGCTCCCCGTTTTCTTCCCCTCAACTCCTTGGTCCCATCCAAACCCGTGTCCAAGCCAGTTGCTCTCAAGTCTGATTCATAGTGACTGAATAGGACTGCCCTATGGAATCTCCAAGAGTTTTGCTGTTATTGGTGATACACAGAGCAAACCACGTGCTCTCTATCTTGCATGTGTAATTCAGGGACACGGATTGCATTCTGGGAGTTGTGCAGCTATTCTCACCCTCCCTTCTAAGGCGTCCCACCCTAAAGGCTCCCATCTCACCTGGCCAGTTGCTGTTGTCACTTTGATTTCTCATAGATCGTTCGCAAAAGAGCCTAATGGCCAAGACAGGCATTTTTTACTAGTCAAGCTAGACTATTGTTTGCGTTTAGGGCCCTGGTGGCATAGTGGTTACACGTTCGGCTGCAATCTGTAAGGCCCTCAGTTCAAAACCACCAATTAAGAGCTACAGTCTCAGAAACTCACAAGGACAGTTCTACCCTGCCCTATAGGGTTGCTATCAGTCTGCGTCAACTCCATGGCATTGAATTTGGTTTTAGTTTATTGTTTGATATTAAGATAAATTCAGGGGCTAATTTACGTTTTAAAGATTATTTCAGGGCAATGGTTTCAGGGATTCAACTAGCTCTCATGGTTCCAGAAAGTCTAGAGTCCATTATAATGTGAATTTTTGTTCTTTTTCCCAAAAGGGGAAATCCAAAAGATCTGGATTAGTTTAAAGACTTTTTTCTTCAAAATGTTCAGTCTTAGTGGCTGGCACCAGATAGTTCTGATCTCAGAGCAAAGAAGGAAATTGTTTGCAGAGATAATGCAAAGCTAGAATCTTTATGGCTACGTGTTGCCAAGCCTTTACTCCTGTAAAGTACCTGGTGGGTTCAAACCATCCACTATGGATTTGCAGCCCAGCACTTAAACCACTGTGCTGCCAGGCTCTTTTAAAACACAGACAATCGCTTCTCGGCCTTTGGGCTAAGATGAAGTGTAGTATCTGTTCTTATCAGTTTAAAGACACAAACAGTGCGTTTGTTCCACCTCATTGACCCTATAGGGCAGAGTGGAACTGCCCCTTCTGAGTGGTTTCTGAGAGTAGAAATCTTCATGGGAGCAGAGCACCTGATCTTTGTGCTGTGGAGCAGTTGGAGAGTTTGAACTGAAAGCCTTTTGGTGCTTTTTGACCACCTTGTAGCCACCAGTCAACTTTGGTCTCTATGTATTTGCTTATTCTAGGTATTTCATGTAAGGGGTCATGCAATAGTTGTCCTTTGGTGTCTGACTTAGGCTCAGTCAGCGTAATATTCTCAAGGATTACCCATGTTGCATGTACCAACACTTGGCTATTCTTTATGATGAACGATAGTTGCTTTTTTGGATACACCTCATTTGTCTGTTTCGTATTTTTCTCTGGTGCCCTGCTTGTGAAGGGACAACTGTCTTGACTTAACAGTTTCAAAGTGAGGGTACCTTTTCAAAGAAGTTTATTTAAATGAAAACTGGCTGATTTAAAGAAAGTGTTCAATAGTACAGATAATGGAGTAGACATGAGTTGTGATGGTTTCACCCAAGAGACATACATTTGGAACTGCTAAGATCTGTGGGTGTCCCCATGCTCCTTTAATGTTTATCACATGTATGTTATACTGCTAACCACAAGGTTGGTGGTTCAAACTCAACCAGCCACTCCTCAGAGGAAAAATGAGGCTGAATGCTCCTGTAATTATTCACAGCTCCAGAAACCCTATATAGAGGCACTTTGAGCTGGAACCAACTCAATGGCAATGGGTTTGGGGATTTTGTTTATTTGTTTTATCCAAGAAATAATTATGTTTAGGAAGAATCGGCACAAAGCTGTTTACTATTAGGCAGAGGCTAAACGTGTCTCAGATTTCCAACTTTTTCCAAGCTGTAGTACGACGTCATCTTTTAACACCAACTGCACTCCCCTCCCCCAGTAATCTTCCTCCTCCCACCCCACCCTCCACCCTCTTCAATTGGGTTTGGAAATTTACTGCAATGTCTCAGAACCCACAAACTCTACTTATAGTTATGTGGTTAATTAGGAAGTATCGGGATCAACTTGGAAGTAACTCAGAAGAAATGTTTGTCAACCAGGACAGTTTGCAACCCTTCTCGAGGCCAAGTATGGTTCTCTGCCTCTGGGTTTCACTGGGCCTTAGCTCTGCTTGGGCAAGTGTTACTGCTCTTTAGGCTCCTCTGTAAGTGCCTGGAGAAGGCATGCTCTGTCAGCAAGCCCAGTGGGCCCTAGAGGTCTTTACAACTGTCTGCCGCTGCTGTGGTTCCTGTCACCAGTGCTACAGCTTTTGCAGGAGATTCTCTTCTCTCTAAAAACCTGTTGCATTGGCTGATTATAAGCAAGTTCCTTGTTAATTTCAAAGTATGTCCCTCCCGGCTGGACCATAAGCTGACCGATCCCCCACAAAGTCATTTAATCTTAAAGGATGGGATGGTTTTATACACCTTATTTGCCTTGTAGCTGATCAGTACCTTGTGGGATTGTGGCCCAGCCCATCATTTTTGTCAGATTATAAAACCAAGGCTAAAAAGAGCCGATATAAGAAAACACATTAGAATGTACTAGTTCCTGACCCCACTGAGATCTTCCTCTGGTGCTTCCTGTCACCTGGAATTCCTCCTCTTTGCTGTCCAGAGCCTTCCGTCCTTCAAGGCCCAGCCCAAATGCACCTCCTGCCCCCAAGCCCTCCTCTTCCCACCTTTGACCTCCCTTGCCCCTGAGTTACTTGCAGAGTCTGGTGGCCTGGATTTGAAGTGCAATTAGTCTTCCTGTGTTAGGCCTGGGCCCAGTGTCTCCAGGAGCTGGTCTCCTCGTTATAAACTAGGACAAATGACTTGGTGGGTTGATGCCTGAGAGAAAAGTGTGTAAATATCACAGCTGAGCTGAATAATATCCCATTCTTTTGATAAGCCACGTTCTTTTTATCCATTCACTTAGGGCAGGGTCCTAAAGTCATGCTGGAAAGCTAGTTTCAGAGATGGTCACCATGGAAAAGCCTTTGAATGGAGTGTTCTTCCTGTGTGAAGTTTGAACCTTTCAAGCTTCTACAGGGCCCTTAATTAGCTTTTGAGTCTTCTACTCATGACCCTGCACCAGACAGCCTTTGTACCCCTGTGGGCAGTGAGTTCTTGGTGGGTGGTCAAAGAACCCTTAAGTCTAGTCCTCTTCCAACACCAGGTGTTGGTATGTGTATGCTTCCCTGCACCCATTGCTTGGTTAGTTCTTTCTCTCCCTTTGGGCCCATGGAGTAGTTCCTTGTCTCCACAACAGCTGTAGAAAGGTCCCTCTCTTTGTATGGGGTGCCTCCCTCCCAGCGCAGGCGTATTGCAGCAGTGGTCAAATGAGTTGGTGATGGTCCAGGCCCCGCCCCTCCCTTGCAGATCGAGTTCGAGGACTGCACGGCTGGCTCGCCCCTAGTATGGCCAATGAAGAGGATGACCCAGTCGTACAGGAGGTAAGTCCTCTGCTTAAGGTGGCAGGGAGCAGTGCCTGGAGCCCTTTCAGCCCTCCACCAGCCATGCTGGGATGTGTTGGCTTCAAGAGACCCTCAGGCCACTCTGTCCCTCTGTTAGAATGCTCTTCTCCCCAGTGTCTGTAGTCCGTATGGCTGACCCCGCCCTTCTTTCAGGTCTGATCAGACTTCACCTTGACAGCGAGGCCTTCCCCGACCATGTCCCTCAGTGACATTCTCCTACAGCCTTCCCCACCACCCCCTTGCCCCTTGCCCTTGAATATACTTCACACATGGCCACAGCACCTGCCACTTCCTAGACAAGCTTATTTGCATAATGTGTATATCCTCTTGGAACATAAGCTGTCTGAGGGCAGGGGTTTTGTTCTGTTGACAGCTACATCTGTGGAGCGAACTGCAGTGGCTGACACATAATCCCTCCATTGTGATTATTTGTTAAATAAATGACCACTCCCACCCCACGCCCTGCGCCCCACCAATCTGGATTTACCAGGTCCAGTTATTCATTTGAAATCCTTCACTACGGGGGGCTGGGACCCAACCCTCAGAAGCTCTGTGGGGCAAGACTTGATTCACATGAGGAGCCAGGAAGCAGGATTCACGTGAGCCAGGAAGCAGGAAGGCAAACAGCTGAGAGCAGGACCAGGCCATGGGAAGGGCCTTGTTGCAGGCATTTTGGGACTGGCTAAGGCCATCTAATCTGAGCTAGGAACTGTGGGGCAAGAGGCCTTTCTAGGGTTTTGGTGAACCTGCGTTGGGGGAAACCAAACCCATACTTATCCTGGTCCCCTGGGATCACCTAGAGTTCTGGCCTGTTGGTTCTAGACAGATCTAGATTAGAGACTCGTTTCCCCTTTTTTGTAACATCCCCAGCCTGCCTCTTAGCCTAAGGTGACCAGATTTTAACATTGGTAAAGTGGGACACCATTGATAAAACTCATATCCTGGCAAAATAGCCACATGGCAGCCGAAAACCGTATACCTTAACTTGTCGTGCATTCTTTCCAAAAATCGGGACTTTTAAAAAACACCACGGGACGCAGGAAAATTTGTTGAAAATTGGGACTGTCCCACCAAAAGCAGGATGTCTGGTCACCTTATCTTAGCCACTACCCCTTGCCTGAGGCAGGTTGAGGCATTGTGTTTGACCTCTGGGTAAATCTTTTGCTTCCAGATCGACGTGTACTTGGCCAAAAGTCTGGCAGAGAAGCTCTATCTGTTTCAGGTAACTATGGACTTGAAGCTACAGGTGGGCGAAAGCAAGAGCCCTGGGCTGTGGGTGAGAGTAATGGGAGACACCAGACTTGCTTACATTCTTGGTGCAGAGCGTGGTTCTCTCTGCTGTATGGAGGAGGGGTGGTAAGACTACCTCATTTTGAAGATGGATGAAGTCAGGGCAACAGCCAGCCCCGTGAGGAGCAGAACGATGGCATGGTTCACGTCTGGCTCTGGGATCCGACTGCTGGCATTGAGGCTCGGCTTCTCAGAGTGCCGTCACTTTTTGCCTTAGTTTCGTGCTGTGCAAAATGGTTTGTAGTATCAAGGGGGGGCCCATGGGTTCCTGCGAGGAGAGATTTGCCTGGCTGAGGTAGCATCGACAAGGATGGCCGGGGCGTTACTGAGGTGCGAGAGGGGCCTGCTGGAGAGGGAACAGCCGGTCTTGGATAGGATTTGAACCCAGCCAGCATGATTTCCCCCACCCTGAGTTTTTTTTACCTCTGCCCCCTCCCCACCATGCTAGCCAGTGGCTGACACAGCCTGTGTACTTGCCCGGTTTATAACATTTATGTATGTATTAATTCAACCCCTGCATAACTCGTTATTACTTTTAAGAGTCATGTTGAGATACAATTTACATCCACACAATACATCAGTTTAAGTGTACAATTCTGTGTATTTTAGTATCAATCGTGTTGTATGCCATCACCACAAATCTAATTTTACAGCATTTTTGTTCGCCCTAAAAGAAACTTGGTACTTTTTAGTACTCAGTCCCATTTCCTTCTCTTTCCCTTCCAAAGCCCTAGCCAAGCACTAATCTACTCCCGCTCCCTGGATTGGCCTCTTCAGAACCTTGCTCATAAGTGGCTGTATACACTGGCTTCTGTTGCTTTGTATAGCGGTTTCAAGGCCCATTCATGTTGTAGCGTGAAATAAAGTTATGGCTTCCTTTGGCTAATAATAATCCATCATGATATAGAACTTTATGTCCTTTTTTTTTAAACCCAGTGCAATACATTGTTTTCTTTTTTTTCAGGAATCATTTTATTGGGGGCTTGTACGACTCTTATCACAATCCATCCATCCATCCATCCATCCATCCATCCATCCATCCATCCATCCATCCATCCATTGTGTCAAGCACATTTGTACATACGTTGCCATCATCATTTTCAAAACATTTTCTTTCTACTTGAGCCCGTTTCACCCTCTCTTCCTCCCTCATGAACCCTTGATAATTTATATATATATTTTCATGTCTTAGACTGACCGATGTCTCCTTTCACCCACTTTTTTATTGTCCATCTCCCTGGGAAGGGGTTATGTATATGTAGATCATTGTGATCAGCTCCCACTTTCTCCCCTAACCTTCCCCCTTCCCCACTTGGTATCGCTACTCTCATTGGTCCTGAGGGGTTTATCTGTCCTGGATTCCCTGTATTTTCAGCTCTTATCTATACCAGTGTACATGCTCTGGTCTAGCTGGATTTGTAAGGGGTCATAATGGGTGTGTGTGTGTGGGGGGGAGCATTAAAGAACTAGAGGAAAGTTATATGTTTCATTGGTGCTGTACTGCACCCTGACTAGCTTTTCCTTGTGACCCTTCTGTAAGGGGATGGCCAATTGTCTACAGATGGGCTTTGGGTCTGCACTCCACGGTCCCCCTCATTCACATTGTTAGGATTTTTTTGTTCTGAGACTTTGATACCTGATCCCATTGATACCTCATGATCACAAAGGCTGGTGTGCTTGTTCCATGTGGGCTTTGTTGCTTCTCAGCTAGATATTCACTTGTTTATCTTCAAGCCTTTAAGACCCCAGATGCTGTATCTTTTGATAGCCGGGCACCATCAACTTTCTTCACCACACTTGCTTATGCACCCATTTTGTCTTTTGCTATTGTGTTGGGAAGGTGAGCATCACGGAATGCCAGGTTATTAGGACAAAGTGTTCAACATCCAACTTGCACATGCATAGGAAGCAATTGAAAATACCACGCACCTTAGTTCTCAAAGTATATCATCCTGGCTCTTCACCACTTTAAAGAGGTCTTGTGCAACAGATTGCCCCAATGTAATGCAGCCTTTGTTCTCTTGACTGCTGCTTCCCTGAGTACTGATTATGTATGAATCCAAGCAAGGTGAAATCCTTGACAGCTGCAACCTTTCACCATTTATCATGATGTGACCTATTGGTCCAGTTGTGAGGATTTGGGGCTTCTTTACATTGAATTGTGATCCATACTGAAGGGCACTGTATTAGGCCAGGGTGACTAGAGAAACAAATCCAATGACACTCACATATGTGTAAGAAAGCGCTTTATGTCAAGAAGTAAATGTGTATCAAGAAAACATCCCAGCCCAGTCCAACTCAAGGCCGTAGGTTCAATACAAGTCCATAGCACCCTCTTCAGACTCACGCAGTCACAAGCTATGGCTGATGGGTGCAGAGTTGTGGAGATCCAATGGCTCTGGTAGCAATCAGGGTCAGCCCAGCAGGAAGGTGAAGGCAGAGAAAGAAAGGGAGTTCCTCAGGGCCCTCCTTATGAGAAGGCCATGCCCACAAGGAGGCACCTTCAGGCAGTGACCTGATTGACAGGCTGAACTCCACCCCTACACGTTTACCTATCTTCACGTTGACATGAATTTATGTCACTACCGGTCACAGTCCTTGGTCTTCATCAGTAAGTACTTTAAGCCCTCACTTTCAGCAAGGAAAATGATGTCATCTGCACGGCGAAGGTTGTTATAATTCTTCCTCCAGCCACGTTCTTCCTATAACCCAGTTTCTCTGGTCATATGCTTAGTTTACAAATTGAATAAGTATGGTGAGAGGATACAACCCTCTTTCCTGATTTTAAACACCCTCTGGCTAGTATGTAGCTAATCGGACATGACCCCTAAATGTGGAGTTGACTTTGCGCCGCCCACCTCTCCACTGGGCTCTTCCAGAGGCTGTGGGGAACGCAAGGGTGGGTGTAAACCAGGGCTCATCCCCACTGGAAAATGGAAACACAAAAAAGGGGCATGGCATGGTGTCCCCGGTCGTTAGTTGTGGAGCAGTTGCGTTCACAGGGTACTGGTGGCATGTGAACCCATTCATAACAACTGTCAGTTTACACCAGGAGGCTGAGGGCTAGAGAGGGTCTCAGCAGACCTGCTCCCATTTCTCTGATTTCCTATTAGGGGAAGATTCACACATGTGAAAGGAGAGCTCTGATATCAGGAGTTCCCACAGAGCCGCCTCGTCTTATTGAGCCCATCTTTCTGCCTTGAGGGGCCGAGAACTGACCCCGTACAACTAGGAGGCAGTGCTCCCTGGGCCACAAAACCTGCTGGGCAATGCACACTGGGCCCCTTTGGGCTTTCTGTGCTTGGACATCTCTGAAAGTCTGAGATATTCTAAAATTGACCTTTGGAAGAAGGTTAGGTGAGGCTATTGAACATAAGTTGCAGATGAGACCAGTGGGGGAGCCCTTTGGCCAGGCTGGTGGGGGTCCAGAGTTTGGGGTCTCTGCTTGAGGTGGGAGGGGTGTTGCTGTTGCTCCTTGGCCAGAGGCCCCAGCTGAGTCAAGTGGACTGATGGTCTTGCTTTCCCCAGTACCCTGTGCGCCCGGCCTCAATGACCTACGATGACATTCCTCATCTCTCAGCCAAGATCAAGCCTAAGCAACAGAAGGTGGGCCTGTGCTCTTAATGGGAATGGGGTGGCGAGGGGTCTGGGAACCCAGAGTTAAGAGGAGAACCATCAACTTAGAAGGTCTTGAGAGAGTTTCAAGAAAGAAAGGGGGTGATGAGCTCCAGCAGAGTCAGGGAGCACATGTGGGCTTAAGAGACAGGTTTGAGGATAGGGTCAGATATGTGTGGGACCTGGGGCACAAGCTGATGCCCACAGGAAGAAGTGAAGGTGCAGAATGCAGGCCTGTTACCTCTGGTGGCCAGGAAGGAAGGGATGGAGGACAGGGCTTGGAGACCTGAAGGTACCTGCCCCGTCCGTCTGCCCGCTGTAGCTCATGGGCAGCAGTGTCCCATGCAGGGGCCTGCTTAGTATGCCCAGCTCTGTCACATACCCAAGAGCAGTTAGTTGGCAATTTTTTATTTTGATAAGAATTTTTATAAGGAATCTTCATTTTTAAATGTGGGCACCTCATTTAGACCTTTGGGAGTGGGGCCGGAGCTGAACAGCTATGAGCCCACTGGTGTAAGCCCTGCTTGTGCTTTTGTTGTAGCTAAGCCTAAGGGATAAAGGGGAGAACAGGGACCAGTGTTGGGGGTGGCCTTGGGGGCGCCGTGCCTTGGGGTCCTCATAGCTGGTGGGGAATGCTTGATGTCTCCAGGTAGAACTTGAGATGGCCATCGACACCCTGAACCCCAACTATTGCCGCAGTAAAGGGGAACAGATCGCGCTGAACGTGGACGGCACCTGCACTGACGAGAGCAGCACGTATTCCTCGTGAGTTTGCTGCGCTTCCTGTTGGTCAAACATGAGGCTGGAGCCTGCTACATAATCCCTTCTGGGGACTCACCTCACTGCCGGCCTCCTCGGGTCCTTGTCTTGTACACCGTCCTGCCATCTGTCCCAAGGGTATCTGTATATGTTTGAGAGAGAGGTGTCACTGCCCCAAACAAATTCTTTGTGGAACTAAATAGAAAGTGGTCCTGGAGCACCTGCCACAACTGGACCAGGATGGGGTCTGAGGAGTGAGTGTGGTGGGCTTTGCTTGCCCCTACTTGGAATGCACCCCACCAACCCAACACCTCCCTCTCCCCATCACTGTCCTTGACATCATTTCTCCCTGTACATCTAGGAAGCTGATGGACAAGCAGACTTTTTGCTCCTCCCAGACCACCAGCAACACATCTCGCTATGCGGCTGCACTCTACAGGAAAGGTAATGGGGCTGGCTGGCCACACTCCTCTGGTCGGGGGAGAATGGGAAGGGGCCTGCTGGAGAGGCATTAGCAACTGGCTTAGGGTCCTACTCCCCCTACCCTGTCAAAGAGCCACCCCCGGGGCCAGCCGGGCTTTGGAAGTTGTGTGGAGTGGGGTGTGTACCCATGTACCAGGCAGTGGAGAGGGAGAGGAGTGGCCATGCATGTGCATGCATACACAGTATAATTTTGGGGACAACTAGTGGAATTTTGTGTTTTTTTTTAAACAAGGTCTTTATGGCCCATAAATTCCAGTGTTCTAATGAAGAGAAGTGAGATAGAGCACACGTGTACTTAAAAACCTGTACAGAAATGTTCACATCAGCATCATTCACCATAGTCCAAACTAGACACAATCCAGATGCTCCTCAGCTGCCAAGTGTGGAAGGAAATGTGCTACGTCCGTACGTACACCATCACTCAGCCCTCTAAGCGGCGTAGCGCTCTGAAGGTGCTACCACGTGGAAGGAAGCCGGTCACAAAAGGCCACCTGCTGTAGGAGTCCATCCCCACGGATGGGATGGGAGTTGTCCAGAATAGACCACTCCATTGAGACAGGGGCTGGAAGTGGAGAGGAAGAACTAAGATCAACCGCCAATAGGGTGTCTCTTCTGGATGATGACGATGTTGTGAAATTGACTGGTGGTGATCGTATACCTCTGGACATGTTAAATTACAGTGAATCGTACACTTTAAATAGGCGGAGTCTAGCTTAGTGAAGCTGTTCAGTATATAAATATGTTAGGTATGTAAGTATTTAGGGTTTATAAAGCAATAGATGGCATTCATCTGGACATGTGGGAAGCAGTAGATTCTTAACTAGTATCAGGTCCCTGCTGTCTGTGTTTCTGTTTGAGCCAGTGTCTCAGTGATACAGTTCTCAACCCCGTTTTTGACAGCAGCACTGTGAACTCTTACTCCCTGTCTCAAGCCTCCTGCTCCCTCCAGCTTACGTTGACTTGGAGTTGATTATCCTGGCACATGTGTGTGTGCCCTGATTCGTACGGAGTCTTCATCAGAGGCTGTGGAGCAACCACCTGGCTCCATCAGGGGCCCCTTCTCTGGCCACATTTGCACTTCTCAACTTCTTAGGGGCGGTGAGGCTTGGGCAGGAAGAGATGGAAGGCTGAGAAGGAAGGAGTCTGAGTTCAGTGGACGTAGCTCACAGGCCTGGAGGCAGGAGAAAGCAGGGGGTGCTTGCCCAGTGTAGTTGCAAGACGGTAGGGATCAGAACTGGGAGGGCCTTGCAAGCTTGCTGAAGGATTTGGATGCATGCTGTAAGGGGGTGGGTTTGCACAGGAGCCCAGATTCAAGTTCTGATCTGACTTGTGTGCTAATTCTGCATCTAAGACCAAGTTGAACCAAGAATGGCCCCCAGTCTGGTGTCCCCAAGACTCTAAGCGGGAAAAGGGTGGGAGACGTACTGATCAGCCTAGGTCTTCAGGGCAGTTTAGGGCCCTTGGTAAAGCTCCCTTGAGCCCAGCAGGGTGGGTCGGCCCCAGTTCCTAGCATTGGGTTGCCCTTCCTCCTCTGCTAGGTGAGCTCCACCTGACACCCTTACATGGCATCCTGCAGTTGCGACCCAGCTTCTCCTACCTAGATAAAGCCGACGCCAAGCACCGCGAGAGGGAGGCAGCCAATGAAGGTGAGCTCTGGACCCCCAGCCCTGGCGCTGCCTAACTGCCTGCACCTGGGCAGGACAGGGTAGACCTGGGGAAAGGTGTTGATTGAAGAAATTGGGTTGTGGGGGCAGCCCTGTGCATAGTAGGATGAACAAAGACCTCCCTGGCCCCCACCCAGTGGATGCCCTCCACCCCTCAGCTGTGGCAGTCCAGACATGACTCCAGACAGGACCCTGCCCCTGAGGGGTTGGGGTGTGACTGCCTATGTCTAGAGGGAGAACCCACAGCGGCCCTGGCTGAGGCCCCCTGGTGGGTGGGGAGCTTAGGCCTTCACCAGTGGTTGCAAGCCAGGGACTTGTTTCTCTTGTAGCGGGAGACTCTTCGCAGGATGAGGCAGAAGAAGATGTTAAGCAGGTCACGGTGAGCGCTGGCCCTAGGAGGGAGGGACAGCCTGGGAGGAGCAAGGCTGGCTTTGTAGCTCAGCTGCCTGGAGATGGCCAGAGCTGGGGAGGGGCTCTAGGAAATGGGTTCTGGGCCAAGGCAGTTCCTGGGTGTCTGTCCTCCTTGGAATTCTAGCTGGGCTTCCTGGAGGGCATGGACTTCTGACTTTCTGGGTAGCAGCCCAACACCTAACTCACAGCGCCAGCAGGGCCTTCTTTTAAGGGTTCTTCCCCACCCCCCCACCCCCCCAAGGCCCGTGTACAACAGGGAGTCTGCCCTGTTGAAGCATATGGCCCTGGGTGATGCAAACAGTTTGCACGCAAGTCATGTTGGCGGTTCTCACCCAGCGGCACTGCAAAAGAAGGCCTGGTGATTTGTTACAATAAGGATTCTAGCCAAGACACCCTGTGGAGCAGGGTTTGGGGTGTGTTGTGTAAGCATCTGGAAGTTAAAACGAGTCCGTTTACAGAAAGATGGTAACACGCATTGGCGCAGGTGTTGCACAGTGTGGTTTGAGTGGTGAAGAATGTTTGTCCCTGGGGGGGGCCAGATTTCTGCCCCCCGTGGGTAAAGCTTCCCCACTCTGGGTGCAAATCCTTTCCCAGCTTCTAAGACTTCCAGGGAAAGGAAACTTCACTTTTACTGCTTTTGACTAAATCCCCAGGCTTCACTGGCCAGGAGTCAAGTGCCTCCTCCTACAGTTGGGAATGCGTGTGGGGGTCAGGGGTCGGGCATTAGCTTCCTGTGACTGGAGGGAGAATGGGGAGGGTAAGACAGAAAATGGGGGTGCTCTGTGGGATGGGACATAGACAGGCAAAGCCAGAGAAACCTGCTTCCTAGCTTGACTAAACAGCTTCTGGGGAAGGGGAAAGCCTGGTTCCAGTGGCTGTTCTCTGCTGTGACAGCGACTGGGAAGGTAGCCCAGGAAGGGTGACAGGCCTGGGGGCATCGGCATCAGCCCTCCCTTGCCGCCCCTAGGTGCGCTTCTCCCGGCCAGAGTCGGAGCAAGCCCGCCAGCGCAGAGTGCAGTCCTACGAGTTCCTGCAGAAGAAGCACGCCGAAGAGCCCTGGGTGCACCTGCACTACTACGGCCTCAGGGTGAGCCACCAGGGTCCCGGGGGCCTGCGGGGTCCCGGGAGAAGAGCTGCAGCTCACCTGAAACCCGACTGTGTTGCTCGGTGCGAGCGCCTGAAAGAATGTAAATACTGTGGGCACTTAGCTCACTCTGGCCGCGAGGCCACTTAGGGCCCGTCCTGGTGGGAGCAGGAACAACTTGCTGAGCTTGGAGTAGATCTGAACTGTGGTTCCGTACTTTTCACACAACACGAGTCTGCGTGGGGCCAGCGCCCTGCCAGGTGCTTGAGCCTGGGCTCAGGGGGAGAGGGGTCAGGACCACCAACTCAGATCTCTGCCTCGGCTTCAGAACCAGCCCTTGAAATCGCTCATGGCGCCGGAAAGAAGACATGGGATGGTAGCCCTCGGAGCGTCCCTGGCATTTGTTTGAGGAGCAACTTCTGATTTCTCTGGAACTTTTCTGGAAGAGGTTTATCTTGACAGCCTTAGGCTTGGGCTTAGATTGCCAGAAAGCTCTGCTATTTCCTGGTTTCCAACCTCAGGCGGGTTACCTAGCTGTTCTTCATGTACGAAGGGGGAATAGTAGTGCCTGCCTTGTAGCGTGACTTGAGGGTGAAGGAGTGGAATAGGTGTGTCTGCACAGCCATTGGCGCTCAGTTCACGTTAGCTGTTATTTTTACCTTCCCTGTGAGTGAGTTCAGGATGCTGGGGTTTGTGGGGTGTCATAGAACCACAAAGAGTGAGCTGAGGGGACATCTGGGGGCCTGGAGTGTCATCGTGTCCTGGAGGTTGAATGTGATGTTGTGAATTGGAGCCAGACCGTGGAGTGACTGAGCACTTGAGGGCGGCCCGGTCATTGGCCGAAGCTCAGCCTGATCTCTCCCCTCCACCCTCCAGGACAGCCGTTCTGAGTATGAGCGTCAGTACCTGCTTGGCCAGGGCTCCAATGGTGTCGAGAACACGGAACTTGTCAAGTCACCCAGGTGGGATTGGCTAGGCCAGGGTGGGAAGCAGGTGTCAGGCCCAGGGCCTAGCTCCTGACCCTAAAATCGACACCCCTGCCCCCTACCAAGGTGTCTGTAGTCTGGGGAGAGGGGCGTGGAGGCTGGTACTCTTATTTCCTGTGGGAGCTCTCGGTCCTGTGAGGCTGCCCTCGATCCACTCCTCCTGTAACCCTTCCTGGTCTCGGCCTGCCTGCAGCCTGTGTGCATGGGCAGGGACAAGCCTGCGGAGCCCCTAAACCCCTAAACCTCTCCCCTACAGTGAGTACCTCATGATGCTGATGCCGCCCAGCCAGGAGGAGGAGAAGTGAGTAAGGGTGGGTGGGACAGCCTCTCCCTCCCCTGGCCCAGCCTGCTCTAACCCATCTCTGTTTCCAACAGAGACAAGCCAGTGGCCCCCAGCAATGTTCTGTCCATGGCCCAGCTGCGTACCCTGCCCTTGGCCGATCAGATCAAGATCCTGATGAAGAATGGTGGGTACCCTCTCTGCCCGCCTGCCCACCCAGGCCTGCCTGACCCAGCCCTGCAGCTCTGCCTTGGATTGAGAGACGAGGGCACAGGCCCCGGCCCTCGGAGCTCCACCGAGTGCATCTGTAAAATGACTCGGGCTCCTGCGGGCTTAGTACGGAGCCTCCCATCGGAGCACCAGCTGCCAGATTTACCCAGGAGGGGTTTTCTCCTGCTCTGTCCGGGGTGCCCAGTCGCCCGCACCAGGCCTCCCAGTCAGGACGCGTCTCTCCTCTTGGAGGAGGACTCTGTGCCACTGGGGGCGGGGAAGGCTGTTCTGCCTCGATCAGTGCTCTGGGGCTGAGGACTTAGGCTGGGGTGAGTCAGGAGAGCAGAGGGATGAGGGGCACAGACTGTGGAACCAGGTTTCCTGGGTGCCGACTGTGGCTCTCTTACTGGTTTGGTCAGCTTGGGGCAAGTTTTGGACCCTTCTGGGCCTCAGTTTGGCCCTCTGTGAAATGGGAATCATTAGGGTCTTGCTCATAAAGTAACTGAAGGTTCCGGGAGTGTGCAGGGCCTGGCACTCAGCGGTGTTTTGATGCCGTGTTGTGACTCGCAGTCTGGGGACAGTGTGTGAGTCGGAGAGATAAGGACCCAGGCCCCTCTCCCCTTTTCTCCCGCATCCTCCTCAGTGAAGGTTATGCCTTTTGCCAACTTGATGAGCCTGTTGGGCCCCTCGATCGACCCTGTGGCTGTTCTGCGTGGCATCCAGAAGGTGGCGATGTTAGTCCAAGGAAACTGGGTTGTGAAGAGGTACGTTAACTGTGAAGCTTCTTAACGGGAGCTCTTGAACTCACGGAAATGGAATGTGATTACTGGGGCTGGCCTTTAAATCTGCTGGAGTGTTTTCTGTTTGCTCTGCCTATGTTTATTTTATATTAATAATTGCCTTCCAATGAACTGCTTATTTTTTATGATCCCATTTTCCCCTTCTACGTTGCAAGTTACTGTGTGTTCACTGTCAGTGACTACCCTGCAGATTTCAGCATGTATTCATAGCTCAGTTTAATATTAATTGTTGTTTTTTCCAAGAAAATGGGAAGACCTCAGGGTATCTTAAGTGTCTCCTCTGCTCTGCTCCTGCTCTTGTACTTACGTACTGTACTTCTCTCTGTGTTTGAGCCTGGCAGTACATTTATAGTCCATGTTCTTTGCACTTTATATTTATCTTTTACTTTTTTGCCTATCATTGCTGCCTGTGTGTCTGAGTGTCGATCTGGGATGATCTTGTGCACAAAAAATGTTCTCGAGATGGCAGTGCCCTCTGTGTCTGCCCTGATGAACTTCCTCAGCTGTTTGTTTTTCTGGAAACGTAATTGTATAAATGAATTAAGGCAATGCTCTTAATTCTTTAAGGATTATTTTTACCGGGAATAGAATTGAATATTGGTAGCTTTCCTCTCAGTGAACTGATTTAACTGCATTGTAACATTCAGTTTCCCACAACTGTATAAGTTGATCGATTCTGATATTAACCAAATATCTGAATTCTTTTTCTTGCATTTTCCATTATATTGCCTTTAGTTATCAATGTCTTTGCACAGCTGGCATTCTTTTGAACAGTTAATTATAGCATGCAACATTTGAGAATGATAAGCAAATTACCTGCTGCACCATCATCATCTTATTCACCTAAAACACTCCAAACAACACAACAGAGTAAGTGTGGTTCATAGTAGCGAGCGTCGGGGCTGCGTCAGGGCCTGCCTGTGTTTTGCTCATTACTTCTCTGGCAAGTCAGATCGGCAGCTCATTTCCACTCCTTTGAGGGCAATCTACCCGTCTGGTTGCGTTTCACTCACGCTTCCTCTTTGCTTTGCATACTTTTATGTGCGATTTCTTCTTTTGTATCCTTTTGGGGCTCACTGGTCTTGAATCTCTGGGTTGATGTCTTTCAGTAGTGTCTTTTCTCCTGGATTCCTTCACTAGACTCAGGTGCCAGGGGTCAGAGATTGCCTGTGTGGCCTCTACATAATGCCTTTGGTAACTTCCGGGTGGCTAACCCCCATGTCTGTTTGAATAACAAGCATAGCACAGAATGCACCAGTAAAGACTCACTTTGAGAGGATATGTTATTGTACGATAATGTGAACCTTCTCTCAGAATGTGAATGGTTCCAACATTTCAAAAAGGAGTTCATTGTAGAAAAGCACATCATTTCAAAATTGGTTGGCCGCGTAAATTGTGAGGTATGTTTACATTATTTCCACATGATGGCGCCCTTTCCCCGATTAACAGATGCCCAGCCCGTCGCACCCCGTTCATTGCTGTTGTCTGGTGTCCCACACGTTTTTAACTATGGAGAGCTTTGAGGTGGCTCATCACTCACTCCATGTGACCACTCTTGAGTGGAATCTTTGTAGGCACTTGGGACACTGGCTCAGAGAGGGAAGGAACTTGCCAAGTGTCTGGCCACAGCTTGCCACAGAGCTGGGCTGGAATTTGGGATTGGGCCTCTGGGGGAGTGCCCCCTGGTGGTATGTGTTCATCTTGGCCGGTACTGAAGCTTGGCGTCTTGTCTTGCTAGCACACACCTTTTAGATGTGGTGGCGAGCCCCCAAGGCTGTGTACACTGCATCCCTGCTCATCTCAGGGGCTCAGAACTGGGGGGGGGGACGAGGGAAGAGCTCTTGGCTGTGTGTACCCGCAGAGCCCCTGTTGGGGAGAGGCTGGAGAGCGCTGCTGTGAACCTGGGAGGGACAGGGCCGGGGGCTGAGGGACAGAGCTGACCTGCCACTCTCCTTTCTTGTGGGCAGTGACATCCTGTACCCCCGAGACTCCTCCAGCCCCCACAGTGGTGTGCCTGCCGAGGTGCTCTGCAGAGGCCGAGACTTTGTGGTGAGTGTCCTCTGTCGCCAGCAGCGTGCTGGGCCGCCAGCACTCCAGGCACAGGGCCGACGTGTGAAGAGGCCTCTGGGGCTACTTGGCCTTTGCTTGTCCTCCTCCTCCTCCTCCTCCTCCTCCTCCATGATTGGGATCCTGCCCCTCGGGCACCCCAAGGGCCCTCTGAGTGCCTCTCACACAGAGGCTGCACACTGGAGGCCCACAGAAGGAGTCTAGCCAAGGAGCATTTATTTTAAAATGTGAACTTGGTCGTGAGGTTTACAGTGATTCAAACCAGATGTCCGTCCAGCTTGTCCCGACTAACTGGACAGGTGGCACCCCTGGGTCTGCTTCTCTGGACGGCACCAAGTTCACCGTTGCTTCCTCTGCCTGGTGGCTGCGGGCTCCCCAGTTACGAAACTGGAGCTCTTTAGCTTCCTGGTCCCTCATGACGATCCCAGGAGTGTGGGGACCCAGTGGGAAGAAGACAGACAAGGCTCCCTTAGTCCCAGGGAGCGTTTGTCGTGGGTGAGCGGCTTTCCCTGGAGGAGACAACCTCTGGGCTCCAATGCACGAGGAGACAGTGGAGGCTGAGGTAAAGTGACTGCACAAAGCCACACCACAAGTGGATGTGCAGGCCCAGCCCATGTCAGCTCCTGCCTGATGCCCGGGCCTAGGTGTCGACCCTTTATCCCAGCTCCGAGACACCCACACGGGCTGGGTTGGGAGGGCCGAGGTTCTCATCTGTGGCCGGAATCTCTCCTAGATGTGGAAGTTCACACAGAGCCGTTGGGTGGTGAGGAAAGAGGTGGCAGCTGTGACCAAAGTAAGTGGCGCTTCCCCTGGCCAAGGCTGGTGCAGGCTGGGTACCTCGGGCTGGCAGAGCCTCACCTGTGGCGCTTGCCCCCCAGCTCTGTGCGGAGGACGTGAAAGACTTCCTGGACCACATGGCCGTGGTGAGGATCAACAGAGGCTGGGAGTTCATCCTGCCTTATGACGGGGAGTTCATCAAGAAGCACCCAGATGTGGTCCAGCGGCAGCACATGCTGTGGACGGGCATCCAGGCCAAGTAAGAGCAGGCTGGGGGGAGCCAGGGGGGCTGGGCTGACAGGAGTACCAAGGAGGCACCTGGAGCCCAGGAGCCTTCCTCCCCGGCCCACCTATCACGTCGCTTGCACAGTTGCTCCCAGCTGGTCAGCACTGGGTGAGGCAAGGTCTGTGGGTCTGGGGAGAGGGGGCAGGCTGGGCAGTAGGTGGGGGTTCAGGAGAGGAGCAGGAGCCTGAGACTCCTGGGGGCCGACAGGCTAGAAAGAGAAGCTGTGATCCCCGAGGGCCTGAGCGGAAGAGCCTGGGAAGAGGCATCCTCCCTGCAAGGAGGAGGATGAGCAGTGTCCTCAGTGCCAGGATGTTCTGGATCGGTGGGGTGGGGGTGGGGGAAGGTTCTTTTGTGAGGGAGATGATGGGGAATGTGCAGCTTAAACTTTGATGGGTTTACCTCTCGTTCCAGATTAGAAAAAGTCTATAATCTCGTCAAGGAAACCATGCCAAAGAAGCCGGATGGACAGTCAGGTGTGTGAGGGTCTCTGGAGCTGGATGGGGGCTCTGGAAGGAGTCTGAGGACTTGGGTCCGGAGAGGGGACAGTGTCTCACCCTTCACCTAGTGGCCTCAGCTGTAGTGACTGTGGGCTCAGCTCCTTGGCTGGGTCTTGGTCCAGCCCTGTAGACCTGCTTGTCCTCTGGGGTCAACAGAAGGTGGCAGGGTGGGAGGAGGTGCTAGCAGGACCCGATCTCACCCCACTTGAATATAAACATTTAATTTTCCCCAGTCCTATTTATTCCTTTATGATTGGGGCGGCTCCTTCTCGAGTGAGGTGGGGTGAAGGCGGAGAGGGTGCTTGCTTCAGCCCCTGCTGGTCTGCACGGTCCCTGTCCGAGGACCAGTCCCAGGGCCAGGTCTCAGCTGTACTGTTCCTCTCCCCACAGTGCCTGTTGGCGTGGTCTCTGGGGATCAATGGGTCCAAGTTGCCAAAACCAAGGCCCAGCAAAACCACGCGCTGCTGGAGCGGGAGCTGCAGCGCAGGAAGGAGCAGCTGCAGGTGCCTGCCGCCCCCCCACCGCCAGGGGTGCGCATCAAAGAGGAGCCCCTGAGTGAAGAGGGGGAGGAGGAGGAAGAGGAGCCTATGGACACTTCCCCCAGCGGTGGCCTCAACAGCCGGCTGGCCAATGGACTGCCTATCGGGCGGGCAGCAGGTGGGGACAGCTTCAACGGGCACCCATCCCTGGGCAGTGCCAGCACTCCTGTGGCCCGGGAACTGCGGGCTTTCGTGGAGGCCACCTTCCAAAGACAGTTTGTGCTCACACTGAGCGAACTCAAGCGCCTCTTCAACATGCACCTGGCCAGCCTGCCGCCTGGCCACACTCTCTTCAGCGGCATCTCGGACCGCATGCTGCAGGACACGGTGCTGGCCGCCGGGTGTAAGCAGATCCTGGTGCCTGTAAGTAGCCTCAGCACCTGCTGGGACAGGTGACAGGGAGAGGCTGGACACCCAGCCCTCCCTCAGGAGCAGGGGCCCTCACAGACCACCTTCTCTGGGGGATGTGTGGTAGCCTCTGGAGAGGAGACCGCAGGGGTGTGGATCAGAGGGCCATTGGCCTTGGTTTGAATCTTGATGTGTTGGTGTGGTTGCATGTGCCCTCAGCCCTGCCAGCCTCTCTAAGCCTGTGTCCTCGGTGGAAGTGGAGACCGTATTTTGCATTGTGGGATTTGGGCGGCAGGGATGAATAGGGTGTCTCCACACCCTTACGTGCTGCTGGGCCTTGATCAGTACCTTAGGTGTCGCCAGCTCCCTTTCTGGTTTCCCACCTCGGCCCTGTGTGGCCCCTCCCCTATTCCTGTCTGCTCTGCCCTTCCTCAGGGTGATGTCATTTCTGCTGTCATTTAATCCAGGTGAAGGAACAGGTACAGCAAGGTGAAGACGTGAGGGCTGGGGCATGGGCATCAGCATGATGAGTCCATGTCTCAGATCCTCCTGTGCACCTGAGATGGGCGGAGCCCTTTCCCAGAGGCGATGTCCAAACCCACTGCGCATGCCAGCCTCGGCAGGCTCCCTGTCCTGAAAGTGGTGGCCTCTCAGTGCGCATTTCCAGCACCAGGCTTCACAGGGAGCAGGATGGGCCATCCACACCCCAGGCATTCTTTTCATTGGAAGAGGCCGGAATGGAGAGGAGTACCTGGCAGGGGCGAGGGAAAGCGTGCAGTCTGCATAAGGGAGGCTGTTCCAGCTGATCTTGTCTCCTCTGGGCTCTCCCCAGCTGGCAGCACACACTGAGGTTATCTCTAACAGAAGATGCTGATGTCTCCAGGGCCAAGGTCAGCAGCACCTCAGCTTTGGGTGCTGCTGTTGAGGCCAAGCCATCCCTGTGTACGGGAGGAACGGAACTAGGGCATGAGGCCCAGCGTCTTGGCGTGGTCCTCACAGCAGGCCTGTGCTTAGAGGGCCTGCATTAGCCCCTACCCCTTGTGGGTCTCCCATGGAAGGTGCTAGGGCTCGGGACTTCTCTACTTAGAGCTGTCCTTGTCCACTCAGCAGCTGGCTCCAGTGGCCTTCAGAGTAGCAAGAGGGAGGAGGGTTCTGGGCTGCTAGAGTGGACGCCAGAGAGGGGAGATGAGACGGGATGTCCTGGGTGTGCCCCGGCCTGCTTTTGCTGTGTTACTTTCTCTTGGTAGAGCTGGAGCCAGACGGAGACCCCCATGATTCTGAAGAGGGGCCTAGCATAGTTGTATCTGAGCTGGATGAGGTTTTATTTCTCCACTTGTCCCTTCGCCCCCGTCATGGAGTGGGGAATCTGGCAAAGACTTGAGTTTAACTGCTGGTTCTGGTATTTAGCTATGCGGCAGAATTGGAAGCACCCATTTCTGAAGCAAATGTGTCTAGTGACCGAGTGAGATGTGGTGTCTAACTTGAGTTGTGGAGCCAGTACTTGAGCCCCCTAGATCAACTTCCTTCCTTCCGGTGCCCAGGGCCTGTCCTGCCGTTCCCTGGCCCACCTTTGGACCTTGCTGAACCAGGCAGCTTTGAAGGTTGGCAGGACCGCTGACACAGTCCTTGTGGATAGTGACTGAAGGGACCCCCAGGGGTAACCTGAGGATTTATGGGGGAGGGGACTTCTCAAGGCACATGGGAAGGTTGACATTTATTGAAGCCGAGAACTTAACTAGAGTCAAACTGAAGGGTGGGGTTTGCCCAGTTGATTAGCACAGCTAACCATTCTTATGCCCTTTCTCATGGAGGCCCTAGGAAGCACTGGTCATTTTTGGAAGGACAACGCACAACACAGACCTGGGTGTTGTGAACGTCCGGAACCCCCAGCTAGGAGATTGCTGAGCTGGGGTTGGAACCCAGTTGCCAAGCTTTCAGGGCAGGATGGGTGGGTCCACGGGCAAAGACGGACCAGTTCATGCCTGGGCCTTGGTTAGTTTCCCCCACAGACCGCTGCTTCGCCGGATGAACAGAAGGTGTTTGCTCTCTGGGAGTCTGGAGACATGAGTGATCAGGTGAGTTTACCTTTATGGCCAACTGGGAAGTTTTTCTGGCTGGGGTGAGGCCTTTGGAGAGGTGACGCCCATCCCATCTCTGTTGTAGATTTGGTAGCCCTTCCCAATTTGGAATATTCTGGCTCCTGACTGCTGTCAGAATCGCTGGGCTTGCCAGTTTAAGCCAAAACCAATCCCAAACTCAAAGCCTTTGCTGTTGAGTCAAATCGCGGCTCACAGTGACCTATGGACTGCTAAGAGTAGGACTGCTTGCTGGGATTTCCGGGGCTGTCGGTGTTTCCAGAGCAGACGGCCACGCCTCCCTGCCCTCTGCGCACGCTCTTAGCCGATGTGCTGCTAGCGCGCCTGCACCTGAGCCAGTGGTTCCCAAATGCTAGCCTGAAGTGACTGCATCAGAATCATCTTTTTTCTTTTAAGGATATAACTTTTTATTGAACACGTTATAAAAGGATTTAGCCGGAAAGGCCCACACTCCTGCCCTTGTCAGCTCCTAGTCTTCTTTCTTTTCTCCCGCTGTTGCCCTGGGCAGCAGTCGGGGCAGGGCGAGCTTTCTCTGGACATGGCTCTCCAGTGCCCCCACATCTCAGACGAGGCTCTCAAGTGCTGGTGTTGACCAGGGCCTTGGCAAACGAGCCAGGCCAGGAGGGTTTGCCAGTGACCCCAGCGGCTTTACCCATGACCTCGTTTGCCATTGTGCAGAGCAGGGCGGAGTAGGCACATAGCTCTAGGCCACGATGGGGGTGAGCTGAGTTTGCCTGCTGCCAAGGATGGTGCCGGACAGACCCCCAGACAGAGGGCCCGAAGAACCACTCACCTCAGCAGCTGTTCAGGAAAGGAGTCTGACGATCAGCTCTTTCATAATATATCAGTTCCAAAGACCAAAAGCAATAAGCCGGACCCCTTGCCATTGAGCTGATTCCAACTCCCAGGGGCCTCGGGGACTGAGTAGAATAGAATCGCCCCAAGCAGATTGCCACGCCTTCTCAGGCAGAGTGGCTGGTGGGTTTGAACCCTCAACCTTTCAGTTAGTAGCTAAGTGCTTAACCACTGTGCCAGTAAGGCTCCTTATTCCAAGGAATGACTCCAGAAATTCTGTTCCGTCTAGTAGGTATGGGGTAGTGTGTTAGATATGTAAATTCCTACAATATTTTCTCAGTGCCTGGCTAACAAAGCAACAGGGGAGGAAGAATCTCCTTTTCAAAATAAAGGCAAGAATCTAAGGAAATTACAAAGAGCCAGTGAGTACCTCATGGTCAGGATTCCTCAATCAGGTATCAGGCCCTGGTGTCTTAGGTAGAAGAAATCAGTCGTTTGGCTTATAGCAGTTGTTCTCAACCTGTGGGTCGTGATCCCTTTGGAGGTCGAATGACCCTTTCACAGGGGTCACCTAATACGTCCTGCATATCAGATATTTACATTATAATTCATAACAAAAGCAAAATTAGTTATGAAGTAACAAGGAAAATAATTTTATGGTTGGGGGCCACCACAACATGAGGAACTGCATGAAAGGGTCATGGTATGAGGCAGGTTGAGAACCACTGGCTAATAGTTGCATCCTGGTAGGAATGGGGCCCAGGTGTTGAGTAACAGAATTAAGGCCTAAACTATTAGCTGTCGGGGTTATCGTAGACCTGGAGACCTGTGGTGTCCCTTATACATCCTGAACTTGCCCAAACTTTAAAATAAGGTTTGATCGCTGAAACCCCAACCAGCCTGGTTTTGTCCAGGTCCTGCCAAGGTGCAAGAGAAGGCTGAGCCGAAGCCTCAGGGCGCTGCACAGGGCTCCCCGCAAACCTATGTGCCTAGGGCCACAGTAGGTGGCATCTGGGTTTCCGTTCCTGAAGGACTATGATAATTAAAAAAGAAGAAAGAAGCAAATCCATCTTTTGGTAGAAAAACAAAAAACAGGGCCAAAAACTTCACGAGATTCCTTTGTGTCTTGGTCCCAGACGCCTCAGAGATCATCTTAATTATCCGAAGGAAGAGTCCCCCTGTGTCAGCTTTGGCTTGATTTGTCTTGTTTTCTAAAAACAAAACGTGGTCATGCTATTTGACCTGATCTGTGGGTTTCCCGGAAGGTGTCGTGGTGGCCCAGTGATTTAGCACTTGGTGCGGTCCACACCCACCGACCAGCAGACCCCAGAACAGATGCCGCCTGCTCCTCCACAGCTCGAGCGCCCTGCGGAGTCGGAGTCCCGGGCTCCTTGGCTTCGCTCTGTGGGACCGAGGAGATGCCAATAAGTTTGGGTTTGGGAGGTTATGTTGGGAGAATGCAGAGGGTGAATATATGTTATCATTTTTAGTTACACCAATTACCGTTGTGTACAATGTGACTTATACACATTATTAATCTGCTTATAGCAGACCAGATAGTACATCTGTCTATCCTGTGAACTGGCCCAGGCCAGAAACTGAACAAATTGGAATTGTGGTCTGTGCATAGTCACTCCACTCCAGCCTGGGCAACGTAGCAAGGCTCCGTCCCCTTGGAGATCTCTAAAGGGATAATGGGCAATGGCTTATCATTGGTCTTTTTTTAAATTCATATCATACGATTTATTTTTTTAATTAAAAAAAATATTTTAATCATTTTATTAGGAGCTCATACAACTCTTTTCACAATCCATACATACATCAATTGTGTAAAGCACATTTGTACATTCATTGCCCTCATCATTCTCAAAACATTTGGTCTCCACGTAAGCCCCGGGCATCAGGTCCTCATTTTTCCCCTCCCTCCCCGCTCCCCCTCCCCCTTCTCTCATGAACCCTTGATAATTTATAAATTATTATTTTGTCATATCTTGTCGTCAGACGTCTCCCTTCACCCACTTTTCTGTTGTCCATCCCCCAGGGAGGTGGGCACATGTAGATATTTGTAGTTGGTTCCCCCTTTTTACCTTGCAAATCTCCTTGGGTTCTATATTAGTATTTTTAAGTGTTTTTCCCTTTGGTATTGGGTATTGGCAAATGCTTTTTCTGCAACTCTTGAATGTTTTTTAGTGGTGGACACACTGATTGTTTTTCAAATATTGGACCATATTTCCATTGTTGGTATGAATCCCATTTGGTCCTAATGATTTGTTTTCTCTTATATTTTTGGATTCTCTTGGCCAAAGGTTTTGTTTTTGTTTTTTTTTCTTTGTTTTTTTGAGAAATTTTGCACCTATGTTCAAGAGGGATATTGGTCTGTTGTTTAGTGTGGGACTGTGACTCTTTACGGGAGTAAAAGTTTTGTCTTCTCCCTTGGAGTAACTGGTGGCTTCAAACTGCTGACCTTTGGGACTGCAGCCTAACCCGTAACCACTGCACCATCAGGACTCGTATGGGAATGTATTTCTGTTCTGTACATCATTTTACTAGGATCTGAAAGAGATGATAACTTGTCCAAATTTGTTCATCTTTAACCTGAAGTCCTTAGGCAAAGGCTTTTATCGGATATCACGTTGTGGGCTTAGGCCCAAGGATTGGGCTTTTGTTTGGGGTTGTTTCTCTTTTAGGCAGCTGTTTCTAATAATATATTTTTGCTACTGAAGCATCGACAGGTTTTGCTTGAAATATTTTCTAAAAACTACCGGGTACGCCGGAACATGATCCAGTCTCGGTTGGCTCAAGAGTGTGGAGAAGACTTAAGTAAACAGGAAGTGGATAAAGTGCTAAAGGTACATCTGTTTATTTTTTTGCATCTTAATATCTACGCCTCTGGGCTCCTGCTCTGACCATTGCGAATGAGTGTCTTGAGGAGACCACAGTCTGGTGCCAGCTTGCAGCCAGTCATGGCTTCAGTCACTGCCACCGCTGTGGAGGTTAGGTGCAAGAGGCAGGCCTTGTCTTTAAGCAGTGCAGAAAGAATGGACGGGGCTTAGATGAAAATTCTTAAGTCCACGCCCTTGAAACCTGTACCACTTTCATGATTTGTGTCGGATACTTTTAAACTTCCTTTGAATAGAATCAGATTTTAAACTTAAGTGTAGCTTCAAAAAGAGTAGCATCTGTCTGGCATGTGAGGGGAAGTCAAAGTATTGGTACTAGGATTCCCGTTCAGGCACGCCCAGGTTTATTCCGTGTTTAGCCTGTCTCTGCGGTCAGTGTTGTCTGCAGACCAGATGAGAGAACTCACTCGAGGGGGAGGTCCCGAAAAATGGGGAGGGGGAGGGATGGGAACGAGAGTTACCACTGCGGGATAGCTGCTGAAGGGGGACCTTGGGGTTCTGCACTTTGCAGTTGAAGCGAACCTTTTGGCCTCAGCAAGCTTTCACCATGATTTTACAGGATGAATTTCACCCTGGATGAGTCTTGGCTCTACCGCTATGAGCCAGAGAGCCGAGTGCAGTTTAAACAGTTCTGAGGTGATCTCTTGGGCCCAGCTTCTCAAGGCAGGGAGGCCAACTCGAAAGGTTATGGGGGCTCTTTCTTGGGACTCCAGAGGAGTAATCTGGATGGATTATTCGCAAAGGTGATCGATCACAGGGGCTTATTAGGAAGCAACTTGAAAACTTACTGGTGGGAAGACCCAGCAGAGTCGTGCCAAGGAATTTCCCCCTCGTGACAGTGTACCTTATTCCTGGAAGGTTACCCTATCCACCGGACAGCCTTGACCTTACCTATTCAGCCTGCCTTTTCTTCAAGCTCAAAGAGCATTTAAAGGGAACACGGTCACTCCAGGGTCCCCGACTGTCATTTTGATGTGGTGTCTGTCCACTGAGGAGCACAGAATTTTTGGGGGAGGGGCAAGAGCTGGGAGCACGGGCGTCAGCAGGGTGTAGACCAGGTGGAGAGAGTTACCTTGAGAAACAATCTCCTCACATTTTGATTGTTTTGTTTAACTGGGTTTCTGTGATTTTATAGCAAAACTTTTTGATTTGCCCTTGTGTGAAACTGCGCTATGATGCTTTCATGAACTGATACAAAAACGTTATTCTCCGAACCATTGGAGCAGGATTATTGTTTTTTACATGTGTTGAATTTTGACATTGACTTTGAACATCCGAAGTGTGGTGCACAGCACCAGTCAGTTCAGCATTCTCACTTGCCTTGGACTGTGCTTCATGTTGGCGCCGGGACAGTTGTGGTGATTGGTGTTCACAGAGCGCTCTTCGGGGCCGCTGAGCAGATCTGGACTCCCTGTTTGCAGTTGATCTGTTAATCATAACTTGAGTTTTTGATATCTGGACAGACCGTAGTAGCTACATTTCATGCTAAAACGTGCCCTTCGTACATTTCTCTTGGCAGGACTGTTGTGTAAGCTATGGCGGCATGTGGTACCTTAAAGGCACAGTACAGTCTTGACAACAGTGTTAACCCACTATCCCCAACGAATCCAAGCGCAGGGAAGGACTGCAGGGCCAGCCGAGGTCAAGTGGAGGCTCGACTGGCTCCAGGAAACACCGAATAAGAGGAACCAACCAAGCAGTGCGTGCGCTGCGGTGGCGGGCCGGCGTGTCCCCGGCGGACAGAGGCGGCCACCCTCGGCGGGCTGCAGGGTCAGCTTGCGTTCGTGCGCCCCAGAAGAGCCCAGCCGGGACCTGCGTGAAGTACAGTTTGAAATTCCTGATGCATTTTGCTTATTAATTTGGTTTCATTCTCATAATAAAGAGAGTGTATATTGTCATGGGCAGGATGGTGGAAATCATGGTTTAATATTTTACTTTTTAAACTGAATGCCAACAAGGTTCTAAGTTATGTTTACAAGATGAAGAAAATCTCAAGGTTTTTAATATTTAAAATACCTAGAAGCCAATATTCAGTCTTGGATTATCTAGCTACTAAGACTTCTGCCAATTTCATTAAACAAACCAAACTCAACTGTTTTTACTCTTGGGTTTCTGTGACCACGTTACCTTTTCAGACAACCTCCGTTATGTAGCAGTCTCAACTGTTTACAGGAACCATAGCAAAAAACAAAAAACTTAAAATCAAATCCATTTGTTCTTGATGTTTGCATAAGCTTGCAAACAAAGCGAGGTAAGTATGGAACAATGTGGAAGCGAGGTTATCACACTTTGATGTAAAAAATTTCTATTTTGTGTATTTTTAAAATAAATGCTAACACTAAACTGGCATCGTGGCGCTGCTGTCTTCCAATGGTGGTTTGTATGTGGTATCAGAGCAGTCCACGTACCTAAGCAGGGAGGTTGCTAGCTAATAGAAGAGGGAGAAGTTCTTGGAGCGGTACTGGCTAGTAAAGAGATCATTGATGAATTACATGTAATTTAAAGATTTTTAGTAGAATGTATATGTATACAAAAAATTATATTATATATACATAAATTTTTTAGTATTTCTAAGACTTCATTTGATCCCATAATCAGAAAACCCGATTTCAGGGGTTTTTTTGTACCAAGTCTTCAATTTTCGGTTTCTGTTTACATTCTATTCAGACTGCCCTCACTTCAGTGCTTGGTAGCCACGGGGACTTAATGGTTCCTCTCTCGGACAGTGCAGCTCAAGTGGATCATGAGAAAATGCAGGAAGCCGGGTGGGATGAGCGGTGAATTTTGCAACGTAAGGTTTTTATCCTACTCTCTCGTGCTATATATCTACTGCTACTAAAGGTTTAGATGGTGGTCAACCCTGCCCTTACCGAACAGACAAAACATCTTTTAGCCATCAATCAATCAATCAGTAGAACATTGATCAGGGATGTACTTTGCCAAATAATTATTTGGTGGCACATTGATTGTATATTATATTCTTGGGGTTTTTTTGTTTGTTTGTTTCTTTGCTTTTTAATATTCTTGGTTCTGATCGATAACTTACATGAGCCTGAAAAGAGTAAAAAAATACCAGAAGTGCCAGTGTCCCTTCCAAGTGGAGCCCACGTGCTGTGGCGTTAGAGAGAGGTAGAAGCAAAACCCATGGGGCACAGCCCTAGCAGTGTGCGTGGGGTCATAGACTCAAACAGCTACAGCAATAGAAGGAAAGGAGGAAGCATTGCATTCAAATAGATAGAAAACTAAACTTAAGGAACATAGGAGGACGTAACTCTTACTTTAAAGGCAAAAAGTTGAAAATAAAGTGAAACCAAAATGAGATATGCCAATGACTGATCAACTAAGAGACTCAGGTGTGAATAAACTAAATGATATAGAAGAATTGGGTGACTTGCAAGAAAATTAGCATAATTTGGCAAGCCAAGGGAGGATAAATTCCTAAAGATTCATACTCTGAGATTTCATCAAATTGCCCAAATCCAGATCATTTTGAGAGCAGCTCTTCATTGAAGACACTCCCAGTGGAGGCCAGAAGGCAATGGGATGACAAAGTCCTGAAGGGGCAAATACAGACTCCAGGAATGATTGGTTCATACTGAATTTGGCCAAACTATCCTTTAAGAACAAAGGAAGACAAGACATTCCTAGATAAACAGAAGCTGAGGGAGCTCATTACCAGAAGATTCGTCCTATAAGAAATGTTAAAGGATCTTTTTTTGACTGAAATGAAAGGACACTACTCAAAGCCATACAAACAACACTATAAAGAACTTCTTAAGTAAAGATACAAGCCACTCTTACTGTTCCTTTGGTTTAGTTGGTAATCTCTTTTCCTATGTTATATCCTAATCACACATCTATCAGTGGGCGTATACTATATGAAGATTCATCTGATGAGAAAAAGTTGGGATGGAGATGTAGAGGAACAGCTTACACAACTGAAACTAAGTCGGTATTCAAACTAGATTGTTAAAGAGCTTAAAACAGTGACAGTCTTCAAGGTAACGACTAAGAAAATAAAACCAAAAAAGAAAAGAGGGCCCGAAGAGAGTACAATACATGAACACAAAAGGCAACAAGAATACAGGAACACAAAGCATATAAAACAAAAAACTGCTAAATGGCAGGACTGAAAAACTCACTACCTTTGAGCTACTGCTGACTCACAGAGAACCCTCCAGGACAGGGTAGAACTGCCCCTGTGGGTTCCTGAGACTTAACTTTTTTTTTTTTTCCCCACCACATTTTATGGGAAGCTAATACAGATATTCCATAGTTCAATCACATCAAGCAGTAACAAAGCCGATACTAATTGTCTCTGTCCAGCGGGTGTGCACTTGAGCAGCCCAGTGCACAATCACTGTGCCAGCAGGGTTCTTAATGACGCACGGAGACCCTGATCAGGAATCACCTTAGATGTAAGTAGATTAAACTATCCCAATTAAAAGCCCAAGATTGGCAGGTTAGATATTTTAAAATAAAAACAAAATAGGAGCAGGTAGTCCCTGACTTCTGGAAATGTGAGTTACAACAAACTGCACTTAGGACCCCCTTGTTGTTAGTCATGTGTACTATATACAACATTGCAGTGTGAATATTTATGATATTCTCAGAAATGTATGTGTGTTTCAAAAAGGATTTATAAAAATCTGGATGATTAGCAATAGTGAAGCCATTTTATTGGGGGCTCATACAACTCTTACCACAATCCATACATAAATCAATTGTATAAAGTACATTTGTTACCCTCATCATTCTCAAAACATTTAAAAAGGATTTTTAACATTAAAAAAAGTTTGGCTTACCTCAGAACCCATTCACAGTCTGGAATGGAATCCTGTCATGAGTTGAAAGCTGCTTGTGTCTACTTTCTATAAGAAACACTCCAGATAAAGACACACCGAAAGAATGGGACATGCACTTCTGTGCGGATAGTAACCAAGAGATCAGGGGTGGCTATGTTGCTCAACAGAATGAGGATTACAAGAGATAAAGGACATTATAAACTGATAAACTGTTCAGTACAGCAAGACAATATAACAGTTATAAACCTACACATCTACCAATAGGATTGCCAGACAAATGAAGCAAACACTGACAGGATTGAAGGGAGAAATTGTAAAGTTTTACAATAAAAGAATATCACTTGCAGTAATGGAATATCTAGGCAACAATGACAAAATTGATTTGAACAACCCTGGAAACCTTCTAGAGCAGTGGTTCTCAACCTTCCTAGTGCTGCCACCCTTTAATACAGTCCCTCATGCAGTGGTGACCCCCCCAAACCATAACATTTTCATTGCTACTTCATAACTCATTTTGCTACTGTTATGAATCGGTGACTCCTGTGAAAAGGCTGTTCGACCCCCCAAAGGGGTCGCAACCCACGGGTTGAGAACCGCAGATCCAGAAGAATGTACAAACAACCCAACAAGAGCAAACATTATTAGTGCACACAGATTAGTCACCAGGATAGATTAGGTCACGAAAAGTCTGTGTTGTCTTAATTGATATTGATCTTGTTGCAATTTCAAATAAACGGTGAACACTATAATGTCCAAAAATTTACAGTCTTTTTATTCAGCTAGTTGGGCTGCAGAGAAACTAAAGCATTTCCCTAAACTGCAGCCCTGAGTGAAATTACTAGCAAGCTTATAATGGCAAAAACCACAAAAATCATTTGGCTCATTTTTTAAGGGACTTTACTACAAAGAAAGCAAGTGTGTGACAATCAAGAATAGTAAAATTAATGTTAACATTCTACAAAGCAAGCATTATGGGGTACACGTGTTACAAAAGAAAAAAACAGCAAGATTAATTATAACATCCTGATAACAAGAGTATTGAGATTAATCATAACATCCTAATTTGTAGGGTACATCAGGGAACAACCACCAACAGGGCTTCCCAGAAGAGAGGAGGGAGTGGACAGGTCACCTGTCGGTTAACAAAATGGAGTTACTGTGGCCAGTCTGTCTCAATCTTTTGGGAAAAAAAGCCAAACTCAACTGCTATCAAGTCAATGCAAACTCATAGCCACCCCCTGTGGGTTTCTGAGATGGTAACTGCTGATAGGAGTAGAAAGCCCAGTCTCTCCTACACTGCTGCTGGTCATTTACAAACTGCCGAGCATGCAGATTGAAGCCCAACGTGTAACCACTACACCACCAGGGCTCTAGGTTCTAATATCCAGGACTCACAGACAAAAGTCAAGATGCAAAGGTTTCTTCAGGACGTTCATGGGTTGTCAGGCCAGTGAGTAATGCTCGGGTTTGAGTTGTTGCTTGGGACACATTACAAAGTTCTGTCAAGACAGTTAATAAACACCCAAAAGCATACCGCTCTGCTATTAGCCTCAACCTGCAGGCACTCAGCTCAAGCTCCATGCATCAGCAAGCCCTGAATTAAGTGCCCAAGGTCACCCCACTCCAACAAGCCTTCGTCCAAAGGCACTCGGCTCTACTAATGTGAGTCAACAGACCAACTTCCCCCATTCAGTGCCCAGAGGCACCCTGCTTCTGGAAGCCAGCCTCCCGCACACATCTTTCCTTGCTCCGTGGTTTGGGAAGTCTATCAGTCTGCTCCATGTTCTGGTTCCTGGTTCTGCTGCTGCTCTCTGATGGCATAGCATCTTCCCGATCCCGGAGGTCTGCTGCACGGGAATCCAGAGGACACCCTGCACTCCTGGCTCTTGCTGGTAATGAGATCTCTCTTCTTGTTTTTCAGAGGGCTCGTTTTAGACACAGCACTATGGCTTTCCAGGCAATCTTAGTCACAATTACTCACAGGTGAATCTTTTTTGTTTGTTTGTTTGACAGGTGACTCTTACCAGGCTCTTCTCCCTCTTTTTGTGTTGTTTGAAATGAACTTGAATGTCTCCAAATCCCCTTTTTCTCTTTTGGTAACCACCCTGACCAATATTTCAGTCTAAGGGGTAAGGAATCTGGAAGTGACTTCTGCCCTCCCCCCACCCCCCACCCCCCATGGGGCAGTTTTTATATTATTTAATATTTTTTACCTATTTGTATTTTTTCCTGTTAAACCCTCCATTTTTTGGCCCCTCCGCTCTCTTTTCCCACCCCTGCCCGACCTCCTCTTAGTGATCAGTCTTTACTTCTATTGTATCAACCACATTTCTTCTTAGTTTTTGCTTATAGCAATGGTGATATTAAATATGTATCTCTGTAACTTGACCAAGTTTGCTAAACATGTTCTCTGGTTTTATCCATGCTTGTGGTGTTGATGAGAGTTGTTGGTGTATAAAATTCTATAGTGTGAATGTACCAGAGCTTGTTTATCCATTCTTCTATAGTTAGGGTTTTTGGTTGTTTCCCTGTTTGGGTTATTGT